TCACCATTTTTGTTTCAGAGAATTTTCTAAAAGTTCAAAGATTGTACCAGTTAGAGCATTATATTGGGCACATTTTCTGAAAAATTCAAAAGATTCTGTTCAGTGACCTTCCCTATTTCCTACTTTTAGCTATTTTTCAGTCACATTTTCAAAGGGCTGAAAAGGTTATTTCATCATGTTCAGGGTCATTCTGACCATGCACATTGTGATCCTGGTCCTGTAATTGATATGTGAAAATAGTTAAGTTGACTGGAGGTCAAAACAGAACTCTGTTATCTTTGTTCAAAAAATCTCTAAAAATGCAAAAATTTTTGTCACTTCCTGTTTCGTCATTTCCTGTTAAGTATCATGGCACCTTAATGTCGGATAACAAGTTAGTAATTTCAATACTGGCAAATGCTCAATTCCATTGATGAACCGGCATTAACGGATTACTGTTAGCCTCTCAAAAGCCCTTGAGCAAAAGGTCCTTTTTGAATATCAGTGACCATCTTGAAAATTTCTTCAAGAGCAAAGCTCCTTTGTCCCTAGATCACAGTGTTATAGCATGACGGTTACGTGAAGGCGATTTGCAAAATTTTGCGGTAACAATAACAAAAAATGGCGGATGGGAAAGGCAGCATATCCTCTTTCTCGCCTGTAAGCAATATTCACAGATAAGATTTCCTTTTAAACTAGTTCCATTCGGTGACGTATATATGGATGGTTATAAAGACCGGGTCAAATCTGCCAGGTGGTCTACAAGAAAAAGAAAATAAGCTGTAAACCTACTGACTGAGATATCAAAGTTCATAATTTTTGGTCCATTCTCGTGTTTTCTCAGTACATGTGCCTCAGAACCACTCAAAGTATTAACTGTAAGTAAACTGTATAAACAAGGCAAAAAATGACAAATCCAGAACAGGAACATGGAGTATATCATAAATAATAAGGTTTCAAACGCAATGTCGCAAAGTGTAAAAGATAGCAATGAAGAGATTAAGGATCAAGTACATGTACTGATGAAGGTGACAAAATTAATAACAATGAATCGGGGTTTCATATTTGAATCTGGCTCGCGTAACTATCTATCAATTTTTTACGTTACCGCAAATTCAAAATACATTATTATGGCTTGAGTATATAGAACATATTAAGTGGTTTCCAATGCTCAGTTGGCTTTGTATGATCGTATTTAGGTTACATCTATATACCCCAAGGTTTTTAGGCAATGTAGACCATGCCCTAACAACAAAAATAAACAAATTACTAAATTTTATGTAATTTTGAATTTCAAACTTGACAGTTTTTCTCTTATTTCATGCTATCCCCGGGAATCAATTTGCAAAGACTACGGTCAAAATATACATTACTGAATGCATCACCGAATGCAACGCTTACATAAATCGTTCATCCTTTCATTGATACACAGTAAAAGTAGAAAATAATGCACCAACGTTAGTTTTCTCTTCCATCGCGGCCATTTTATTGGATAAATCAGTTAACGTAGCCGTCCAACCTCGTTTTCAGAGGTGGCGTAACCGTCATGCTATAACACCGTGTAGATTGTGCATTAGCATATAACCAACCAACCAGCCAACCATATAAAACTTGTATTGTATTTGGTATTTAGATTCAGATTGATCAAAGATTGCATTTTTACAAAAAATGGTGGCCATTTGAAATGAGCAGACATGAAAATATGCCCTTTGACCCTACTTTGATAGATGAAAATAAACCCCCCTCCATCAAAAATATTAGAATTAGGTCAGGCCTTTTTGGAAGAAATGAAGATAATCTGATGAAAGCCTTTTGACAAAAGTTCAAGCTTTCAACTCAAAGCCAAATCTGAAAAATCATCAAACATCAAAATATTTTGAAATAAAAAACTGATAAATTATTCACATTTCATATCAGTTTTCTATGAACTTTATTTAGATCTATAATTTTATTTGGGCAATAACAATAACAAACATAATTTCAATACATACTTACATAATGTTGATCAGGAAGATCTAGGCCTTCAATAACATTTTTCCCTCAAGATTTTCTGCCAAGGCTGTGTCTGTGTGTGTATCTGTCTGCTGATGACTCATCAAACAAACAGGGTCAAAGGTCAACATGTCAACAAAACTTCTTGTGTCATGGCAACCAAGCATATGACAAGCAGAAAGCAGGGTAAGATACAGAATTCTCAGAAATATGTGTCATCAAACAAACCATGTAAACAAAGCTTGTATCATTGCAACCAAGGTCATAAGTATTAGCAGACAGCAGGAAGCAAAAGACCAACTGACTGACTGATGTGATTTTAGAACAAAATTGTTGCAGAATTTGGGGTATGTTTTCATGATATTATATAAATTATTATTTTTTGAATATAAACAACTAATATGCATAACATAATTTAAAATATCTTAAGAATATTTAAGAATGATACTGCAAGATCAATCCTCAACTCAAATCTGGGACAAAAATTGTCAGAATTGAAAAACTGAAAATGGGCCTAGGAAAGCTATTGGAAATTGAAATTATTAAGACATCATGTTGTTCAGCCCTGGCTTATTGAGCTACTGATACAACTTAAAGATTACAGTTGAGCTGGATGGAATTTGGGGTAAATATGAAATAGCTTGTGTTCCATTCATTGCTGAAAAAAATTACAGTTTGTCTTTTGTGATTTTCAGAATGCTGGAAAGGTGTCAAAGGCTAAGCTTAAATGCATTAGCCAGTTGCTAAAAACATACTTACCACTTGACTCCCAATTAGAAGATGGAATAATGATTCTGTGGACCTAAACTGTTTTTTTCATGTTGTGACTGTAGCGAGTAGGCCTCGTATACCCTCTTCACCTGGATCGGTATTGATGTTTGCATGCTGAGGACCTTGATATAACAATACAACCATATGTTTCCTTGTGACATTCATCAAAGGAAACTTTTGCCGTACTCTACATATGTACATGTGTCTATAGGAACTATGTGTCATATACATTGATTACGTCTACCAGTTGATATTCTGACACAAGCGTCTCATCCAATCAATCAATTTGTCATTGTGAAAATCACTTGATGAGGAATTTTACACAAACAACCAAAACCCTCAAATTCCTCATGGGAGCCTAGGATAGCTACTACTACATGTCATAGTTACATCTGGATTACAACATGTACAATGGCTGAATGGAGTACCCTGTTGTAGTTAAGAGCTCGGGAAATCTGTGGATACTTCAATTGACTTCATAGAAGCTCCAAATAATAACACTACTGCACTAGGCCACTGGGTGACAATAAATTCAAGTCAAAACCAAATTAAAATACTTGACAACAAAATACAATCACCATGTTTATACAGTATACTTATTAAATTAATAGTAATAATATATTAATAATAAAAATAGTGCATATATTAAATAAAAAGTGGAATTATTAAAAATAAATACAAACTATAGATAGTAGAAAGTAAACATTTGTTTATTCATTGCTGTACTGACTCTTGTAATATTTGTTCAGTTGGTAGAAAATTAAAACTTTTTTCTTCAAAATCCACAGAGCATTTTAATAATGAGCCAATAGACTAAAATGATGCTGGAATAAAATTAACATGAATTTTTTTGGACTTTATTTTTCCCCTGTTTTTATGTCAACACCAGAGATGTTGACATATTATTCTTCCTGGCAGTGGAATAATGATATTTGTAACAAATTCCATGCCCAGTTCAATATTTATACGTGACATGACCTTTGTAACAAGTTCTATGTAGTGCATAAATTCTGTACCAAATTTTAAGCCCGGCATAAATTTTGGAACAAATTTTATGCCCGGCATAAATTTTGGAGCAAATTTTATGCCCGGCATAAATTTTGGAACAAATTTTATGCCCGGCATAAATTTTGGAACAAATTTTATGCCCGGCATAAATTTTGGAACAAATTTTATGCCCGGCATAAATTTTGGAACAAATTTTATGCCCGGCATAAATTTTGGTCAAATCAAATTCATAAAATAGTGGAACTATATATTCTCATTATTTGATCAATTCTCATTTTAAAAAAAAGGGTGTTTTATACTGTTTTATGAATTTGGTTTTATTTGTTAGGATGGAAAAGAAATCTGACTAGTGATTACAGAACAGCAATACATCAACTTACTTTTCATGTTAGATAATATTAAATTGAATTAATACCGGAAAGCCAAAAATAAAAATATGAGACAAAGAAGCTTGTTAAGTGCATCTGTGGGGTAAAGCCAATAGTCATGGTGACATACGCAATCAACTCAGGCTGGGGATAAGAGTCACAGAGAGGTTACACTATTATAAGAATAAGATGCTGTCAATCGGTTACCATGACAACAATCCTAATTGATTATTCAAGATGCTACCCTATTGTGTTGACACGCCTTAAAACAAGGGATCTGATACTTGAATTACGTTCCATATGGGTTTTATTGCAAGTAGATCTATTCAGAGTTGGTTAACAAGAAAGAGATAATTAAGATGATTATGATTGACATGCTGAACCTTGATTGACTCTTGATTAACTGCCACAATGCCCTGTTTTCTACAGATGCGTAAAATTACTCTTGTACTTTAATAGCATACTTCATAGGTATAAAACAATCCCTATATTCTCTTGTGAGTTGTATGAAGAAAAGAAGATCATGTTGAACTCAGAAAATACAGTTTGTGTGGATTCTTGCTCCAGGGTGCTCAACAGTAATAAATTTGCTAATTGAATTAATTTGGAATTATTGGCAATGTTTTTGATCAAAGATTTTGCGCAGATGATACGACTGGTCAGTTTAAGCTATTGATTGGTTTTCAAGTGTCTGTCTTGTTTTCTGGGAATATGGCGATTTGGCACACTGCCAAGCTGACTACCAGCTGATGATGGGCTTGTCTTTGTAAATGTAATGTCTAGTGACGGATCACTGAAATAGTGAAATATACTCCTTTATGAGAATGGTATTTTGTGTTAAAGTTACTCAAATGAAAAATTTGTTTATATCATGTATTACAGGCTGCTATTCTACAACAGACCTCAGAATTTATCCAAACTTTGGTGCGTGAAAAGGAACGTTTGATTTCCCAGAATGCATCACTGAAACAGATGCTGACTGATTTGTCTGTGCGGCATGGCGATCTGGATAGCCATCCGGGGTCACCACCTGCGAAACGGAAAAAAAGAGATACTGGTTAGTATGTATTTTCATTCTGGATTTTGCTACCCAAAGGCTAGTAGCGAACTTAAGATTTGCTAAGTCAAATATATGCAAAGAGAAGGGACATTTAAAAACATGTTCGAGGGGTGATCAATATGTTTATAGGCACTGTGTACCAAAATTACTGAAAAAACTAATGAGGCATCCCAATCCATTTTGACTCAATTATTACTCTCAGGAATGCAATTAGCAATTTAAAGTGTACTCACTGTAGTAAAGCAATGAGTGCACTGGGAACCGATGGATAATATGACTAGGAAATTCCCCCCATGTTTTTTTTTATAATATTCTGACAACAATAAATGAATCAATGAATAAAATCAATGCATACTGTATATTATTATCATAAGTGAAGCTGAACCTTATATTGGGTACCCTGGATAAGTGAGACAGACCTATTTACGAATTTTGCTTCCCATTCGTAAAATGTCTGTGCTTCTTTGATCTCTTATTCTGTTCAATTTCTCTCTTAATGATTGGAACCAAATAACTAATTTTTTCTGACATGCCTATATACTTTGGAATAGTTCTACTTAGCATTATAAAATATGTATATGAGTCAAAAGGGCATAATTTGTAAACAATGCTCTAGATACCCAGTTTCGAACAGAAGTATGTCATAAAAATATTATCAGTACAACATTCACAAATTCTTAAGAACATATATATTGTATCCAAGATGGTGTCATACATGAATGACTTTATCAGAATGATGTCATATTTGAATTATAATTGACATAGCCCCATTCTTCTGCTAGAGACTACCATATATTTAAATTGAATTGAATTGAAATGTGCATTGGAATTCTAGAGGTATTACCTTGGGCTCTCTTTCAGAATTACCACAAGCTTTCTGGGTATTACCATTCATAAATCTGTGAAAAAATGCTTGAATATATGTTTCATTAATTTAAAACTAATATCACACAATTGATAATTTAGGGGTGGTAAAATATTAGTATTATAGTTCATGCCAGTTTATTATACATGTATATATTATATGTATTCAATTTGACATGCAATATGCCACTAACTGATATCCGGTTCCAGTGCCATGCCCCTTTTGTACCCTCTAATTATCACGATTTAATTTTTGATTTGCTAAAAATGAATGAGCTTTTCTGGCATTCTGACAAAGTTATGTTCTTGTTTTTTGCCATTGATATCAACCCCCCCCCCATTTCTGTTCAGATTTTATTTTGAACTAACTTGCAGTTCACCACCATGACAGTCCTCTCTCAAGGGTGCCTAAGTCATTATGACCGACTATAAGCATTATAACCAATGATCATCAGTTATTTGCTTTATTATCACAAATAGATTAAAGCTTTTGTACAGAAATAGAACTGTAACAGGGTGAACTTTGTTAATAAATGAAAATGCATTTGTCTTGTCATCGTGCTAACTACTTTGTATTGATATGCTACTTTTCCTAGTTATCTCCAATTTAAAATGATGAATTCTGTGAGTGAAATGAGTGAATTCTGGGGAAATGGCCAAATTGGTAACCTCCAGTCACTCCAGACTCTGTGGGGCAAGGCAGATCCTGTCTGAACTCTGTGGAAATCAAAAACTGGGAGAAGCTAATACCTCAAGTCTTAACATTGTTAACAATTTTTAAACGTGAGCTTATATGTGGGTGTTTTTTCAGAATCGTCAGATGAGGGAATTGGATTAACCGAGCGCGATGACTATGATGACATTAAGAAAGAAATCCTTGAATTGCGTAGTGAGCTCCAAAAAGAACGCCAACTCCGTCATTTAGCCGAAGAAAAAATGCTTGATATGCTCGAAGTTCAAAAATTCCAAAATTCAGTTGTTCCCTCGAAGGTTCCAGCGTCACCGCTCGCTCCATCAGATCCGGCACCCGTTAGCCCTGTTCACACGTCACCATTGGCCAAAAGAGAAAGTAGCACTGTAAGTTGTACACTTTATCATTAAATCCTCCCACTATTCCCAATTGTATATTTTACTACTAAGAGTAGAGTGGAAGTGTGTATCAGTTGGATAATTATGAAAAAACTGTATGATCATTGATGGGAACCTTTTTTAAAAGTAGAAATATTTACATTCATGAAGAATGTTTCTGGGTCATTCAGGGTCAATTGCCCCTAAATTATTCTCAATGAAATGTAGCAAATCTCAAATAAAAATGGGAGGAGTATATCATAATAGGATATTATATTCACCTTTTATCCAATGTAATGTGGATAAAGCATCGGAATGCATATATTTGGTCATAAACACAACCATTAGCGGATCTTGCCAAGAAATCTAACCACAGCATTTTTGCGGTAGGGAGACACCCAAATATTTTCCTGGAACTTGGCTTTGAATTGCCAAATTCACTTAGAACTAATCATTTTATAATTTGTTTACAATGAAACTTAATTCGATATTCATATTTACCACTTAAACTTCGTGCTACTAAATATGAAAGTAAAAAATTGGCACACTAGGGTAATCGAATTCCTTTGGCTGGATGGTAAAAATAATTATACTATTTATAAACTTGAAATGGCGATCAAACATACATGCTAGTAGGTGTACTTCAGACTGGGTCATGTGACCTGGCGCTTTGCCAAGATGAGTAGGCGAGACTATGGATAATGTTGTATCTAAAGCCGTTAGTGGAGGATCTAGGAAAGATGCAGAGTTAATAACTAATAAGACATCTTTATGATTAAATGCAGTTCTTGGATAAAAGAAGTTTTATTCAGTTGGATTTTCTGTACAGAAACATTTTTCAGGTTTATATATTAGATTTTGGATTTCAGTAAATTTTTGCTAGTTTGATATATGCATATTTATAGGTTTTATTTGTTATGATTCTACACTCAAATTCTCCATCTGCGTCTCCTTATTCAGCTCTATCTTTCTTTAGTTAAATAAAGAGTTTCGAATTTCTTGCATTTCTATACAATTAAGAGTGTTGTCTATTTGCCTGTTATTTTATTTCTTAAATGTTTTATGTAATTTTTATCTTATTTTACATTTTAAAACATAACCGCAAGCATTTTACTGACAGGATACCACACTTGTATTCGTTATCAGCACCACTTAAACTTATCAGAAATTGAGTACTACGCACCTTTATTGTGACACCCACCCCTACTAAATATGAAGATATAGTGCGTCTAAATAAGGAGAGTAAACTGGCTAACTATCTGAAGGGAAAATAACACAATTTAATCTGCATATAATAAAATCAAATCCTGCAATTTATTGACGATTGGAGTCCAGTATAATTAATTAAATTATTGTTCTTCAGTGGAATAAATCCATCATTGGTTTATTTTCAAACAAACATGAAGCTAATTAATTTCAGCGTCCTTCTCCTGATCTTTGGATCAGCTGTTGTATTGCACTGAGTTTGGCCGGCTGCCAAAGTTTTAAACGTGGCGAAATAATAACAATAAATCTATCCATCTGTTCTGTCTGGAGGTTCCCTTGGCTAATAAAGCTGTATCTTTGTAGTCAAATCCATGGGAATATACAAGGCAAGGCTTTATTTTAGTATTTTATATTCAAAATAAAAACTGAAGTTAGAAATGTAAGAAAATTTTCATAAGGAAATGGCAGCTTGCCAAGAAGTGCACCGATGCTACATTGGACGTCATTAGATTTGAAGTTGAGCCCATTTGAGATAAGAATTGTGAAATAATGAATCTGGCCTTATGTACAGTTGGGTGAATAACTAGACACATGCATTATGTTATTCTTACATATTCAACCCCCTGCATATCAGAAAAGTATTGCCAGTCATGCTTATTCATTGATTAGGAGACAAAATGTTCTATAATGGGGGACATGATTTTTTGTAATAATTTTACTATGTTCATTATTTTCAACAATTTGGTATATTGGACCAATACATGTATTGATATATTTCATATTTTTATGTTGTGTTTTTTTAGTTTCACTGTGATTAAGTCTGATTTATATTCACGTGTGCAATGGGAAACACGCCAAATAGGCCAGATGATCTCATTCTCATACATGATTTGCTGGATACAAATCAGAGATGATTTCCTGGTTTTCATTCAGTTGACATCATTGGTTGCTATGGTATTTCTATAGTTACCATTATTAGATACTTTTGATAAGGTTTGATCCTGTTTTTCAATCATAGATGAATTTGACATCACTGGTTGCCATCACGCTACAATGATTATAATTATTAAGCATTTTGTATTTGGGGCTGAACAATTATTCACCAAACAAATGATGGATTTGTATTAAAAGCACTTGTTTACCTTTGGTTGCCCTGGTGATGGTCAGTAAATGATTCATCTCATTTCAACATTTCAATGTTAAACTGGCATATGTTTTGTCACTTTTGGCTCACATTCCACAAGGTCAGACTTCACAGGACTTCAAAACTGCAAAAACTGAAAACATCTATTTACAAATATGTGGAGACTAATGTGGCTTTGGTTCATTTAAGGTCAGGGTAAAAAATTGTGAATGAAGTTCCATGGTAGTTTCACTTTGCCATCAATAAAGAAAGAGATTAACATACAATTATGACAACTGTATAAAAATAAATACATTAAATTATTTATGAATTTAAAAAGAATGACCAAAAATCACAAAATTATAAAAATACACTTGCAGTGGCAATTATAAAGTAGCATTTTATGCTGTGGAATTATCTTGTTTCCCCATTGGTAAAATGTCAATAAAATGTCCCTTGCATGAAATCTCAGCTGTTCATGTTTATTTCTTTGTAAATTCTGAATGAATTTCATGATTTTCTGCCATTTTCTTACAATTTTGACAAAAGAGCATCAACTTGACGACTGTTTTCTTAAATCTCTTCCAAATTCTCTCTCGACCTCTATTTTTCATTTTAAAACACTTATCCCCACCCCTCCTTCACATCTTTTTGAATGGGAGGCAATGAAAAAGTAATGAAAATGCAGTAAAAGTGTCCACTATAACTGTATATAACAATAATATGCATATAACACAATAACGATCAGAGACAACTGATCAACAGAGAGATAGATCACTAAAGGTTGTGCCCTTGTGTCATATTTATTATTCTGCACTTTATGTTGTCCCAATTGAATACAACATTTGGTTTATAGTTGTCCCATTGTGTCTTACATTGACCTATTGTCCCATTGTCTAATTATATATCATAAATGAAACTTCAAGGTTGTCTCATGGTTTTTTAATTGCATCATTTTGTCTCATTGTGCTCTCAACCCAATATTTACATGACAAGCTATATATGGTACCACACCACCAGTGTCCCAAATGTAATAAATATCAAATCATCAGCTGACAGCCGTCAGTTGATTTCATGAATGCTTGGACTTAGTCCATCTTGGATTTCCAAGGTATGAAATTATTGGTTATTGCAATATAAGGTGTAGCTTTATTCTAGCAAAACAATTGGAAGATTCCGGAACTATATTTCCAAGATTATGTCACCTGCACTTAATCAATAACACTTAATGCAATCTTGGGGGTGGGGTAACATTAAACTCTCATTCACAGCTTACCATTTGGGGTCTTATTCAACTTTGATTTGTTTATAACTGACTGGGTCTTATTAAAGAGATAATCTTAGTATGCATTTATCAGTTTTTTATTATTATGAATATTTTATTCCCACGCAATCAAACATAATTTTTGCATTTCTTTGACAGATCTTTATCGATTATAATTTCTGGATCTGAGTTTATCTGAGTGCTATGTTCATAAGACCCATACAAGGAATCGTCTGTTACAGTGCAAGTTATTAGGGGAAACAAGGACGAAGTAATCAAGCAAATTTTTTCTCTCTTTTTTAAACTTCAATGCCACTTGTTATAACAAATAATTTGGTTTTGCAATATTTCAATTTTATTCTATAAATCTTTTTCAAGCAACTCAATATATCGGTATGAAAGAAAATGGTAAAATTCTCAAAAAATACTAAAAAAATTGATCAAAGATGATCTGTGACCATCAATTTCTGTTGGATAATATGACCATATCAACGAAAAAAGGAGAGTGACAGGCATTTTGTTCAGTACAGAGATGCGTAGGACTTGATTTCGAATCATGGTTATATAGTGATGAGAATCAATATCACTAGTTAATCACTCAAGGCTGAGCTATTGTTAGACAAGTCCTTACCCTTGGTTAAAATAAAACCTTGATCATAATGTTCTTTTAAATGGAAATTACATGGGAAAAGGTGGATTCAGCAAGAAATAAAGTCAGCATGCTTATATCCCATACTCTAAGTTATATTGGAAAGTTATAAAACCAGGAGTTTCTTTGCAGATTAGAGAAAGGAAGAGAAATGTGTATGACCAGAGACATATTTTATGGACGCAAAATGACTTAGCTCCCACGATATCGTGATCAGAATTTCATACAATGTCTAATGCAATCTCTATAGCTCAAGTATAAAGTTTCAAGAAATATTCAAATGAAATCATATGTCTATTGTAATTGTAATGCGTTGTGTATTTTCATCATAAAGATGTGTCTTAAATTATTACTGAAAAAAATGTGTGTTGAATATGCAAGTGAGCTTTAATTAATGTTGATTTACTCAATTGATGTTTATATGCTTAATTTATGTTTATTTACATATGTGATATATCATTAATAAATCCATACCTTTACACGAACATCTTTCCTTAATGGTGAGCTTTTTGATCGGTCCATATGATTTGAATACAGGGTGACCCAAAATAAAGTTTACTACCTACTTTTGGAGCACCCAGTATATATCATTATTTTCTGTTTAAAAGCTATTTAAAACACCAAATACATAGAACATCATTGGATAAAAATGATATTTAATGAATTCTTGTAAAGAACAGAAAATATTGAGAATTCCAAAAAATCATTTCTCTGGCAAATATTATCTGTATTTTACTTGAATTGTAACTTAAAACAGTTACTGATTTTAGTTCATTAAAAATAATAAATAACTAAAAAGTGACAGATAAATCTCAACATATATTTCCTTTGAATGTAACACAACCCACCGTTAGTGCAGATAATGGTCACATTGTTGTCTAGCCAAATATAGCTAACCTAAACATTATTAACTACAAATATCTAATCTATAGAACTAAAGCAATCAATATCTTACCTACTTTTTATCAATTTTTATTGTAAGAGGGTAAGCCAGATCCAGGGACGGGAATCCAGCTGGTTCATTTTTAGAAAATAAACGTGGTGCTTAATGATTGATTGTTTTGATTGTTTGCATTTATTGTCCAAGTAGTACAACACATGGTGATTTAATGCAATAAACATGGTGATTTGATACAATAAACATGGTGATTTGATACAAAACATGGCGTGATGCATTGTATTGAATCAGAAACATATCTTCATATTTGAACATGAATTTCTTTTTTTATTCATAAATTTGAATTTATGATTTCAGTGTTACGCACCACCTGTTGTACCAAGAAGGCATTCGATGGAAGAAACAACACGTCCTGAGACTGTTGCCATGCCGACCATTGTAGAACCGGTACCTCCTCCAAGACCAAGTGTTGTCATGACAACGATGCAACCTGTCCCATTACCAGCGGTAACTCAAGAGCAACAACACCCCTACAATCTAAATAGCTCGATGTCACGTCGTAACCTGGAAACAATTGTAGAAGCAATCCGCCATCTTGAAGGCGACGCTGTTTTAGAGGATGCACCAGCAGCTGCAAAACCAATTAGCCCACTGAGGAGAGAAGACTCATATTCAGGGGAAGAATCAAAGTGTGAAAGTAGTTCCGGAGCCGATTCTCCCCCATATTCAATAAACATTCAGGCATCTGCCATAAAACAGGAGCTCCCAAGCCACAAGTATCCCATCACAATGCAGGTCCTTCATAGACCCACAATTCCACCATTTTATCACCTCCCTCACACCCCTATACAGTTAGTGCAGAAGTTATAACACCCAGTGACCGCTTTCTGGCACCCTTGATATACAATTCACAGTGCAATCTCCTAACCCAATCTTGGCGGTAGCGGACAGTCGAACGCACAAATTATTTATCCGCTGAGGTTGGCAACATGCCCGTGGCTTATGAGTCACACTAATCCCCTAGCCCAGTGATCAGCCGTCATATCATCCTACAACCATTCACTTCACCATTAGTATCATTGCCATGGTTACAAAGCATGTAAAGAATTGTTATGGAAATGTTTGTAAATATTTGTGAACTACAACTTATCATTTCCTGTTAATATTTTAAATTAATATATTATGTGGGTGCATAACCGACAGAGTGTTGCCATAAGCTAAAAGAAAGCCTTTAGCGTTATATACAAAGAGGTTATTGGGTTTGTTAAAAATGCCAAGGCTATAAAATTCTTGCCCAAATTGGTCGAGCCTATATTTGACTTAAACAAGACATTGTTTGTTATGTACCTACTGGGAATTCTGTCAAATGTCCACTTGTGGGCAGTAATGCACACTTGGTTGGCAATAATGCACACTTAGTGGGCAATAATACACAATTGGTGGGCAGTAATGCACACTTGGTTGGCAATAATGCACACTTGGTGGGCAATAATACACACTTGGTGGGCAATAATGCACACTTGGTGGGCAATAATGCACACTTGGTGGACAATGATGCACACTTGGTGGGCAGTAATGCACACTTGGTTGGCAATAATGCACACTTGGTGGGCAATAATACACACTTGGTGGGCAATAATGCACACTTGGTGGACAATGATGCACACTTGGTGGGCAATAATGTACACATTGTGAGCAATAATGCACTTCAAGTTGGCAATTATCCACACTTTGTGGGCTGTATATAGTGTAAAGTACATGTCTTGTAATACATGTAGAAACTTGTGTACAGCTTATCATGTAAAGTATGATGTTCTATTAAAGTGTAATGTCACATGTAACATACAATTGCATAAGTTAGTGTGTATTGTAGTGACCTACATAACTTGAACTCAAAGGCAACACGTGTTCTTGGTGCCAAGTCATGTTGGTTGCTATGGTAACTACAATAAATGGTTAATATTTGAATCAGTAGTAGATACGGCAATTTCAATGCAAGTGATTTTTAAACCAAAATATTCAATTGAATAATGCCAGAAATATCTTACATCTTCTCATCCTTATATGGTCATTGTCAAACGGGTCTTACGTACAGCTTCTTCGGATGTTTATTACAGGGTTACCAATTATCACAAACTTAAGACATTAAGCACCACAACTTGCATTCTGACCACCCTGTATTTATATATGTATTATACCTATGTGTTCCTCATATTTCTAGATAGTCATAGATTTACTTCAAATAGTATTATATATTTCATAAGACCAGTCCACCTTTTACCACCACAATGTGTTCATTTAACTTGTGCAGTAAACATTGTCCCCCTGGATAAAACTGAGTGGGAGGGGGCTACAGTTTTGATGTAAGACTTCTTTGGCATTACTCACTTTACAGAAATGGTTTGATCATATGGTCAATGCGATTCAATGCATGTAATTAACAATAATTGATAGTTAATGACACTTAAGCTCACAAGATAGCGCTCACATAGAGAGTGATTTAGATTAGAACTTTGATCTTGTATATTTCACCCAATTGAGAGAAATTGAGTGGAATAAATAGTATAAGAGAGTGTTGAGTGATTTTACACACGGAGCAGCATTTCTTTGAGGGCTTAAGTGGATAATATTATAATCAACCTGTATAAAGTTGGTAATTATACAAAGTTGGTAATTATTACTTCTATGTAGTCTTCTATCCAATATCTCAAAACATGTGAAAGACTAAGCCATGTAAATGACTAAGCCATGTAAATGACTAAGCCATGAAAATGACTAAGTCATTTAAATGACTAAGCCATGTAAAAGACTAAGTCATGTAAATGACTAGGCCATGTAAATGACTAAGCCATGTAAATGACTAAGCCATATAAATGACTAAGCAATGTAAATGACTAAGCCATGTAAATGACTAAGCCATGTAAATGACTAAGCCATGTAAATGACTAATCCATGTAAAAGACTAAGCCATGTAAATGACTAGGCCATGTAAATGACTAAGCCATGTAAATGACTAAGCCATATAAATGACTAAGCAATGTAAATGACTAAGAGATATGTAGTTACCAAAATCCTGTATATGTATTATGTACAGAATATGTAGATTAGATAGATAGAATTTATAACTAGCCTCTTTTTCACAATCAGAAAAATATCCGGTGTTTTAGTTAGTCCTATTATGTACTGAACTTGGTTCATTTGTTGCACCATTTGGATCATTTGATGCACCTTTCAAATGAATCAACTGGTGCAACTTGATTGCCAAAAATGCCATGCAGCTCATGATAATAGATTTTCTAAATATGATTTCCAGCGCAACCAAAGTCAAGAATTGCTCGGTACATTTAGTGTATAACATTAAGAATGTCCAGATTTATGAAACTGTTGAATATTGCCAAATAGATTTTGTTGTTATGAAGTTATTGATGATAATTGAAGTATGTGATGTATTTTCTGTATGTATTAATAGCGTGTAGCAAATGCAATGTGAACATAATGACCAATATCTGGGTACTAATGTTCCAGAATGGTATCGAGAAGATCACTTACAACTTTTTATCATACACTACTAAGAGTACTATTTCGTCAAAAAACATAACGTTTTAGGCATGCTGGGTAAATTTTGAAGCCATAGTATGTTACACTTCATTGATTATTTAAGTACAGTAACCAATACTGGGATAAACGCCTGAGCTCATAACTTCATACCCATGCTTTCTGAGTTCCTTTTGCATTCATTCAACTTCACTTCTTAAAAGAGAGCTTCGTCTTCAGTAGTTTATAACTAGACTGTGCACGGGGCAGTTTCTGAGAAAGGTTGTGCTATCAATATTAGAATGTAAGTGTATGGGATTATATCACAAGGAACATTGATACCTGGATGGTTGTTATTGGTCAGGAGCGGAAGACGTCTGCTTTTCAGGTGAATATAACGTCATGTTGGTCATGTTTTAAAATGCCAAACAGAGTAAGAAGAAGGGGAATTAGCAAGGAATAAAGTAAACAGACATGAAGTCAACACTCTAAATTGTACGAAAATGTCTGAAAATTAAAGACTTCATTCAAATTTTTGAGTGAAAAAACCATAACAAGTGTTGATTTCTTTAGGTTGAGCTTGGTTTCACACACTTTTCACTTGAGTTATGAATTGAATGTTTTATTAAGTAATTTTATAAAAAGAAATACCACCCAGTGAAAAAGCTATCTTGCGGTTTCCTCTCATCTCGTAGATTCTTTGTTGCATCAGCGAGAACCATTGGGAGCTTAATGAGCAAAGATGCTAATCCTTTCTGCACAAAGCGAAGATAACATGAGGTTATATTATCTGAAATGTTAGGCACATGTTCTTGTATTATTTGTTAGAGAAGACATGTAAATTATGCCTATTGTTGACCAGTTTCATGAAATGTACTATTAGCTCAAATATTCAGTTATTGAAAATGTAATCATATAGTTAAAACATATTTGTACTGGATTAATCTACATGTATGTGTATTTTTATTTTGGTAAAATCTGGTATGTATTTGTACAAATCAACATAAGAAATAACTTATTGTCAATGGTATGTTTTGAGAAATATTATGTTATGTATTAATTCATAAAGTTACAAAAGAGTACTTTGAAAAACTGTTAAGCATTGGTCTTCAAAATGATAATATGTTAGTTGTGTATATCATATATGTGCTATCAATTTATGAAGTGTTCTTGTGCAAAAATATTGAATTTGCCAAATTTTTGAAGATATTTTTTTGTAATATACATTATAATATAATATACATTTCATGTGAGTAAATAATTCTTGAAGAATGACTCTTATTGATAAAATGTCAAAATATTGTATATATCAACTGAGACCTTGCTTGTTTACACATTTTTATTTGAGAAGATATTTAAAAGAAATATGTGAGAGAATATTGATCCCATAAGCCTGATGGATTCTGGGTGAGTCCTCCATCATTTTGGAATTATGGGATGAATATTAATCTTCAATAGTGAGTCTTGTAGACTTTATTTTTGGATAAATGTGAGTTTTGTTTTTCAACTATGATGCGTGTAATATCTAGGTAAGGCTTTATGGTCACGTCACTACAATAAAGATAATTGTAGAAAATATAAAGACTTGCAAGTTTTGTTGAGTATTTCGTAAAGTTAAGAAGTGAATAAAATGAGATGTATCCAGGGGACAATAACAAACTTTCTTAAGTTAAGAATTCCTCACGTCCATTGTTCTGTAATGACCCTTGAAAACAAGTTGCTACTACAGTCCCAGCTGTAGGGACTTGCCCTTGTGGCTCAGGGGTAGAGCATCCTCCAAAGTGGAAGGTCCTGGGTTCAATTCCCGCACAGTGCATTGAAGTCTGGTTTGTTACACTATAACAATTGTCCCTAGGGTTGTTTCACTTTTCTTACTAAGGCATCATAATACTAGTATCCATGGTTAAAAGTTAAAACAATTGATTTAAGAATTCTTTACTCCATGACGTTTCTGTTAATACATGTAGGCCCTTAAACCTCCTTCCCAAAATTAAAGTCTAAGTATCCATCCCAAAATTGATCTAATTTATTTGCAAAATTTCAAAGTGCGTTAGCCTATGCCTAAAAGGAGACTAAAATCTATCAATATGCCTGGAATCTCTAGAAAGACCATCTTTTTAGGACTGATGACAGACCCCTATCCCATTCCATTTCATGATCAAAAGATTGAGGACATTGTGACATACGATAAAAAACATCTAAACCTCTGTAAGTTAATAGCTCATCTTCAAATTATAATTGTCATACTACAGCTCCCCGGAGGGTTCATTACATGTACAGTAAAACCTGTGTATATTGAACATGTTTCATTCACTAGAGAGAGAGGTTTTCTTTAAGACAGGTTTAACAGCCAAAACTGTCATGTGAAGTAATTTTGTAAGTGGAACACTGACCTATTTACTTAATGCTATATAAACATGTGTAAGTGGAGTACCTCTAAAGTGGAACACTTTTTCAGGTACTAAAGGCATTCTCCTTCCAAACCTTTCAATGTATATAAGTATTACTGTATACTGTTGGTTGCTATATGTACCCAGTTGCCTTGACATGAGGTAATTACTGCCATCTGTTTGATCTATTAGGATTCCTACACGCTCTTGAAGTACAGTCATGAATATCAACAAAGACCATGAAGTCACAATGGCCTCATTAAAATTATATCAGATGAAAAGTTCATGGATAAAGCAATGGGACAGTTATAGTAACTATAGTAAACAATATTTTGCTCATTTCTTTATATTTAATCTCATTTCAAGATGTTGGCCCATTGGATCATTGTAGTTAGCATTAACTTCTCTATCTTTCTATATATAGCCTAGACTATAATTTGGATATGACTTTTTATTCTATGAGGTTTAATAATCAAAAATAAATAAAAATAGTTTAAAGTTTTGTTTTTCAGAGGACGCACTATGTATATAAAAATCATCTCTCTTTATGCTGTGAATAACATACATTCTCTATACAAGGCAGTAACATGCAAAATGTCACCACCTGCCATTTGTCACAGATGCCGAATGCCTAACACAAACCGCCGAACACAGTCCACAAAAAAGAGACGACAACAATATGTCACCACTTGTAGTGATGACATAAAA